GTGACCAATTTGGGGATCGCAGGAATTTGATTATGTTCAGCTTTCCTGCAAGTTCACAGAGTTTGTCATAGCTATAGCATCTGGAAGGACTTTAGGATGGGCCAGAGATAATAATCCAGCAAAAATATGGTCAGGACATGGTGCTACTATGTATATAATTTCATGTAGTTATATCTACAGATTTTTTTCAATCTTGTTCATCCTGATTGAGATTCTTCACAATTCTTGAGTCGTGGTCACCATGTATATTCATAGGTTATTCTGATGTGTAGGATATACATTACTGTTTCCATCATTATTTTAGGCTTCAATGAATACTATTGAGCCACTGATCTCTTTTTAAAAAGAAACTCGAGTTTAATATAACTCAATAGTAGTGATAAAAGAGACAATTCAATAAACATAAACAAGAAAATGGTGTGAAAAATACATTAGCCAGGATGAACTGTATTCTGTCAACTGAATGTTATTTAAGACAATCTGATTAATTCAGTCTTTGAGGAAATGCTCAGCATTTAAGTGTGCAAGAGCTATTAAGAAGAAAATAGAAATTCTGTGAAATAGTTACAATCTTGCATTTTCAGTTGATGAAGTGTAGAGAATCAGAGGTGACTGTGTTACTATTACTGTCCTTGATGGAGTCCGCCTGCAAACCGGATATTCTGTCAAGGTATAGATAGGTAACAGCGGACATGCTTGAAAACGAGGTGTCTGGTGTCCTTGGGAGGACTAGCCTGCAAACTCGATGTTCTGCCAAGTGGGCTAGGAGGGCGCTGAGAAAAAGTTTATTATCTGTTCTTAATAAGAGTAGAGGTTGGCAGGCTCCAGGCCGAGAGTAGATTAGCCATGAGAAGCGGGTCACTTCTAACTAGAAAGTAAAACTTCTGTATGCTATGTTTAATTAGCTGAAAGACCTGATTTATTGCTGTTGGAAGGCTGCCTTCTTTGTTCACAATACTATAAAAAGATTGCTTGTATACAATAAAGGACTTTTTTTTTCTGCTGCTGCTTTGCTTGCTCTGCTTCTTCTTTCTTTCTCATGCTGACCTGCGAGTGAATTACTGCAACAATGAAGTATGACTTCATTATATTTCATTGCTTTTTCCTCTGAAATCCCCCAACATACTGTGGCCCAATGGAGAGATGGCTGGATTCCATGCTTTGGGATGCTGGTGTAAGTGAGAAGGCCCTTCGAGAGGAGGTGAGCCAATAGGGACCTGAGGGTTTCCATAGGGACCAGCAGACCCTTTTTTACTTCTCCCTCTTGGCCTAATCAGTTGGAGACAGGATCAACCATAACAAGTTAACAACTGTCCCATTTTTATTTTTTTTTTAATTTTAATTTTTTTTTTTTTTTTTGTGTGGGTGTGTATGGTACTAGAGATTGAACCCAGGAGTGCTCTACAGCTGAGCTACATTCCCAGTCATTCATTTTATTGTTTTCAATTTTGAGACCAGGTCTTGCTAAGTTGTCCAGGCTGACCTTGAACTTGTGATCCTACTGCCTCAGTTTCTAGAATAGCTGAGATTATGGTCCACCTTGTCTGACTATCCTGTCTTTAGATCCTGTCGCTATCCCTCCTCATTAGCCTTAATTAGCTCTTGCCTGGTCTTTCCAGAATGCCTAACAGGCTTTTCTGGCTGATTTCCCTGGATTACTTAGCCTCGAGTCTGTCTTCCCATGGATCCCCTCGTCTTGCCCAGTAACTGGCCCTCAGTAATTACAGCGGGTCCTCAACTTATGCTGGTTCAATTTAGGATTCTTTGACTCTGTTACAGTAGGAAATGACACACATTCAGTAAAAACCATACTTTAGATTTTGAATTAGGATCTTTTCCCAGACAGAAAACATGCAGTTTGATCTGTCATGATACTGGGCAGCAGCAGCAAACCACAGAGCCCAGTCAGCCACTGCCCTATCTCTAGGGCAAATAGCTGACAGTCACTCTACAGCATGCTGTTGCTAAGCTGCAGTGGTTAATAGATTAGCTGTAGTCAATGCATTGTTGACATAGCATATTTTTGATTTATGGGTTTATCAGGATGTAATCCCAACACAAGATGAGAAGCATCTGTATAGGTCTTCTGCTTGGGCTGTGAGAAGGTGAACTGAATACAAATTGATTGATTCTGGAATACAATTTGCTACTATTGATTATAACACAATCAGAATTGGAAACATGGAACTATTGAATTTGGCCCCTCAGCCAGGGGAAGAGTCTGGCACTGGCCAAGAGCAGATTGGTGGAGGGGTTTTACTGGCCTACACAATGCATTGGGGAGGTGACAATTTGTCACCTGGCCTTGGGAACTGGCAGTAGGAGGCTGCTCATGCACTCTACTGGTGCTGAGGGGGTGGGGATAACTCTTCCATTCTGATGAGATGTTAGATTATAACCGCCTCTAGTTTGGGGCTTTATAGTGGGGTACACATTAAAAATGACATATATTGAACATTTTATAGGAAAAAGGAACTTGAAGGTAGAATATGAAATTTTCAACTGCCCACTCAGAAATAACTGCTTTTAAAATGCAGTATTTAGGGCTGGAGGGATAGCTTGGTGATAGAACATCTGCCTAGCATGCACAAGTTCCTGAATTTGATCCCCAATATCACCGTTAATTAACTAATGCAACATTCAAAAGCCTGAGTTTTCTTGGCTAGAATAAGCAACTATTCTACCCACTATTATATTGCTAATGAAAGACTTATTTTTAAAATAATAAACAGACATTATTTTTAGAGCACTTCTAGTTTTACAGGAAAATTGGTCAGAAAGTACAGTATTTCCCACAGGGCCCTCCTTTCATCATACATGCAGTTTCCCCTATTATATAATTTCTGTACTGGTATGGTACATTTGTTATAATTGATGAGTCAATACTGAAAAATGATTAAACTAAAGTCAGTAGTTTACACTTGGGCTCACTCTTCTTTTTCTTTTTCTTCTTTTTTAAAAATATTTTTTAGTTGTTGATGGACTTTTATCTTTACTTATTTGTATTTGGTGCTGAGAATCGAACCAGTGCCTCATACGTGCTAGGCAAGTATGCTACTCTTCTTTTTCTTAATGGTTAAAAAAAAAACACAAAAAACAAAAAGACAAACAAACAAAACCCAGTATGTTTAGAATTAGCTGAATAGACTGTTTAGATGAGTCCATATCCAAAGGATGTTAATCAGGGGCCAGATGAATTTATGCTTCTCCTTTCCATCAGGCCTGATCAAGTGTTGACTTTGGATACACCAGTGTCACAGAGCTGCTTCACAAGCCTGTGTGAGCTGGTGCTTTTGGCCCTGACCTCCACAATGAGCTTCTATTTTCTTCATCATGGACTCAGTGGTCAGGGGAACTTGACGATGGCGTGGTGGTCAAGCTTGTTTTTTCCTAAGGGTTTTCTTCTGAGGGTACCTGGGCTGTGTCCTAGGTCACAGAAGTTGCATGATGCCAAATCCTCTTTTTATGACTGTGGACACCTTTCAGCATTGCCTTCTTGACCTTAAAAGCCTTTGCTTTGGCTTCAACTTTGGGATGGGCAGGAGTCTCCATCTTTGCACTTAGCACCATCTGGGTGGATAGGGTCCATGGCTCACTCTTAATGGAAATTCTGTGACTTTTGACAAGTGCACAATGACAGGTATTCATGGGTATGTATCACAAACTTTCAGAGAATAGTTCTAGTGCCTGGAAAATCCCATGTTCTAATTTTTTTTTCAGTGCTAGGGATTGAACCTAGGCTCTTAGACATGCTAGACAAATGCTCTACCACTGAGTTACGTCCCCAGCCCTTTTCAATTTTATTTTGAGACAGCATCTCACTAAGTTACCCAGATTGGCCTTTAACTTGTAATTTAACTCAGCCTCCTGAATAACTAGAATCACAAGTGTGTGCTAATGGGCATGGCTTGGTTCTAACTTTTTACTTTCTATAAGCCACTTTGGGTTATGTGTCCTACAAAAGAATGCTAATCAAGATTCGCTCTTGCTCAAAACCATAAGTAACCTTCCTGGACCACAAAATAAAAACTCATCTGCTTCCAGAACAGGACTCTTCCTACTCCCAGACCACTTTCCCTGTGTCCTCCTCTATTTTCCTTTCAGATGGCTCTGGCCCAATAGTGGTACTTTCTGTCGTCCCCATTTCCCCTCATTCTCCCACTTCTGTGCCTGTTTGTGCTGTACTTCCCGCACCAAGGCCCTCTGTGTCATCTGATGGCTGCAGCCCACTTACCAAAGCCTAGCTCCGGAACTGTTCCTAAAACCTTCTCTGTTCCCTCATGGCAGTCATCTCCTTGCTCTCTAAACATTTTGAACTCTTCACAGAGTCTGTGTGTTCCTCAGTAGCATTTATTTTCCATCTTGCTCAGTTGAATGTGCCTTATTTTCCCCAGATGATGTAATGGAATCAGAGGCCTTCTTGCTAGCCTTTGACCTCAGTAGTGAGTGCAACACTGTAAAATGTGAGGATAAGTGAGGAGTAAATGAGCTAACTCACGAAGAGTGTTTACAAGACTTCCTGACCCCTAGAAGTTGTCTCATAAATGTTTTCTGTTTAATTAGCACCTGCTATGGTTTGTGCCCTCTGAAACTCATGCTGAAATTTGATTGCCCCTATAGCATTGCTGGGAGGTAGGGCCTTCAAGAGATTGTTAAGAGGGATTAATGCCTTTCCTGCAATAGTGGGCTAGAAATGAGAGCGGGTGTTATAGAGCAAGCCCCACTTCTCTTGCTCTCTCTTCTGCGTGCTCTTCTGCTTTCTCATCATGTTATGAGAGACCTTCAGATGTGGCTGCTTGATCTTGAACTTCTTGACCCTCAGAAGTGAGAGCCAAATAAGCCGGTTTTCTTTATAAAGTACATAGCCTCAGGTATTTTGTTATCACAACACAAAACAGACTAACACAGGCACAACAGGGACAGCATGGGTGCCTCAGGAAAGAGCCAGTGATCATCATCAGAAAATGCCTGTCTTTTCAGAAAAAGAAAAGAATTGGCACCTGGTGCAGGTTGTAGGTTTGCTTCACTTGGTTTGCTTCGTGGAGGCAGCAGCGCTTGGTGTATAGGATGGAATCCTGAAATGAAAGAGCCAGACTTCCAAAGATGGAAACACAGGGACGTGGGTGCTCTACAGCACAAGAACCCAAAGGAGGAAGAACAGATTTCCTTTTGGTTTGCTGTAACTCAGACTGTGCCCACCGTCTATGTGTATACTCCTCCCTACATTACTTCCTTTAGTGCAGTGAAGGGTTACACTCCCATTCTTTCTCCAGGGAACTGGCAAGGTTACTGGATGAGATTCTAGATGAGTCTGGGAACACTGGCCAGGGCTCACGGGTCTTATGTGTCTGTGGGTGCTGTTGGCAGACTGAAACGTAAGGTAGAGCATAAGAAGGAAAGAGGGTAGAAAAGATGCCTTGAGTATGGTAGTAGGTGTAGGAGAGAGTAAAGAGGCCCAGAAACAGTAAAATTCCATCCAGTAGAATTGCGTGTGATGGGGGATGTGGCTGCCCAGTGGTAAGGCACAGGCCTAGTATGCACAAGTCCCCGGGCTTGATCCCCAGAACCCCCACCCTCACACACAGAAGGAAGGGGAAGAATCACATGGGAAGCTGCCTGTGTTTAATGCTAGGGTCCCAAGCTTTGTGGGCAATCTCCAGAGAACTGTATATGTTTAGGGACCTTTCAGTTGGAAGGGTTGTGACCTTATTGGTGTCCATAAGGACTGACAGCTCTGTTGGGGTATGGAGAGGCAGCTTTAACCAGTTCATGTCTTACCACCATTCATTTTGGTCCAAGGCAGATAGCTTGCACAGGCTCTGGAAAAGGGGAGAAAAAGCTCTCTAGCAGTTTTTCCTTTCCTCCCCTTTCATGTTCTTATCTCTATCTGTACACTCTCAAGTCTGGATGTGTGGAGAAGGAAAAGAAAGGAGGTCAGGCAGGGGAGCAGAGCAAAGCCAGAGCCCAGTGTCCATGGGAACAGGTCAGGAGAGGGAAGGAGGTGGGGAAGGCTAGGGAGAGAAGGCTGTTAGTGATTATGGCCAGAGAGAATGATGAAGATTGTGCAGGCTCAGCCATGACCAGCAGGCTTCTGCCTCCAAACCCCCTACTGGTAAAAATGAGCCCACACACTGCGTCACCTCCTAGCTCTCATCTGTCCATCTCCTTCCCCAGCCCCTCTCAGCCCACCTTCCTTGTCCAGCCCAGACTGGCTTCACCTCCACTTTTTCAGTCTTCCCATGGTATCCCAGAACTAGATCCATCACTGCACTTACCATGTGTCTTAAAATTACCTTTCTTTGGTGGTCATCCGTCATGAATCTATGCCATCTAAGGGCAGTGGCTGAGTCTCATTCATCCTGTAGCCCTAAGATCCAGCCCTGAACCTGGCATATGCTAATGCTAATTGAGTGGCAAGTGAGTAACTTTCCATTGTGACATTTGGACACCCCAAAGGTCATACAAACAGCTGTGTGACACTAAGGGGCAGAGGATTATTTTACTGTGTGAGAGTAATAGGTAGATGGAGAGAAGAGGATGGAAGGGCATTTTTTTTTAAAGAGTGAACATTAAATACCTGAACTGTGACTATAATTTCTTCTCAGTCAAGTTTTCCTACTACAGACATGGAGAAAAGCACAGAGGAGAAATTGGAGCAATTAAAAAGATAAAAGGCCACACTTTTTACACCTGTCCAGCTGTGGGGAGAAGTGGGGTGGGAGCAACATGGCCATGTGAATTATCTACCTGAGCCGTGAAGCTATGCTCTGAACTTAGTTTCTTTCCTTGGGAGATTCTTGTAGCAATCACTGAGAATTTTGCTGAAGGAACTTTCTATGATTTGAACCCCAAATTAATGCAGCGGAAGTTTAAATCCCCAAATTCATATTCCGATGGTTTTGGAGGTAATGCCTTTGGCTATTAGTGTTAGATAAAGACATTAGGGTGGTGTCAAGAGCCAGCCATGGGCTGTGTGTGTGAGCTGGGAGCATTTGAGCGCATAGGGGACTGGACTGACCTTGCTTCTCTGATTGGGCTATGCAAAGTATGTGTCCTTTTTGCTTGCTCTGCCTTTGATCCCACACAACACCTGAGATGGGCATGGTTTTCAGAGATGTCAGTCAAATCTGCTACTGCAGGACATTGCCAAGCAAACCCCTGAAACCCAATCCCTCGCCTCATTTGGGTAAAACATTCTCCAATGTCTTTCTCCCCAGTAAATAGAGGATTTTCAGGTGGCTCGCTCTTTCATTTCCAATGGATCCCTAAGGTCGAGAGTTGTCCCGGATTTTGAAAAGGTATTTCTGTGCTCTTGCATACTTTCTTTGCCATTTTCTCAGTTATTGATGTAGCCAGATTTTGTGAACCCAGTATAGGTCTCCAGGCCAGCTAGCTGGCAACAGGATGCAGTAACAGGACCCTCACCAGATTGCCTCCTCTATCTTGGATGTCCCAGCCTTTAGAAGTATAAGAAATATATTTCTTTTCTTTTTAAAAAAAATATTTATTTTTTAGGTATAGATGGACACAACACAATGTCTTTATTTTTATGTGGTGCTGGGGATCAAACCCGGGTCCCGCTCGTGCTAGGTGAGTGCTCTACCACTGAGCCACAATCCCAGCCCCATTTTATTTTCTTTATAAATTACCCAGTGTCAGGTATTCTATTGTAGCAACATAAAGTGAACCAATTCCCCAGAATGGAATCTACTATGTAATTAAGTAGTCATTGAGAGTTGCCAACTTAAAAAAAAAATAGAAACATTAAATTAGCAACATTAATTGATCATATTATACATAACATAAAATTGACCATATTGTACATTTAAAAAATATTTTCTTAGTTGTCAATGGACTTTATTTTTTATTTATTTATATGTGGTGCTGAGAATAAAACCCAGTACTCACCCATGCTAGGCGAGTGCTCTACCACTGAATCACAACCCCAGAGCCCATATTATTCATTTTTAAATGTGAAGTTCAGTGGCATTAAGTATATTCACATTGTCATGAGACCATCGCCAGTATTCATCTCCAGAGTTCTTTTCATCTTATAAAATGGAAAACTTAGTACCCATTAAACAATAACTCCCCATCCTCTTCTTCCCTCAGTCTTTTTTACTTCCTGTGTTAGCACAGGTCTTCAAGGTTTATCCATGTTGTATCCTTCCTTTTTAAGGTTGAATAATACTCCTTTTTATGTATGTCACATCCTATTTAACCATTGTTTTTTAATGGACATTTGGATTACTTCTACCTTTTGGCTATTATAAATAATGTTTCTATGAACATGGGTATACAAAAAAGTCAATGACTTGAAACAGAAATTGATATAGAAAACCTTATGTAGGTAGATATTGACATGATATTTGACAGGTGGCCATGTAATTTATCAGCCAAAATGGTTACTCTGAGAGAGAATTTAAGCAATATGACCACTGCCAATAATTCTGCTGGGACAACAGGCAAATATTAGAACCATCTGGGGCAAACCAGGCTTCAGGCTTACCTTCATTTTTGAATATGTAGTAGTGGCATTAAAAATAAACAAACATAAGGGCTTGGGGTGAAGCTAGAGGCACAACACTTGCCTAGCATGTGTGAGGAGTCCCTGGGTTCAATCCTTAGCACTGCAACAGCAGCAACATCAACAAAATAAATGATTGCAAACACATGTGTAGTGAGAAAGAGTGTTTTATTTTGATCACTTACATGCCCAAATTTATTCATTTCACTTTTATGATACAAACTTGATTTTTTCAGGGGGGGGTGCTGGGGATTGAACCCAGAGGTGCTACACCACTGAGCCACATCCCCAGCTCTTTTAATTTTTTATTTTGAAACAAGATCTTTCTAAATTGCTTAGGGCCTCACTAAGTTGCAGAGGCTGACCTCAAACTTGTGATAATCCTGCCTCAGCCTGCCCTGTCACTGGGATTACAGGCATGTGTCACTGCACCTAGCTTGATATTGTTTTGTTGTTTTCCTCTAACAGGAGGAAAATAACTATGGTTTGAATTTTTGTAGTGTTTTTAAGTTTAAGATACATAGAAATTTGCTATGTCAGGAGCAAAGT